AAATTTTCTTTACTATCCTCGGTTTGCATTTGTATATATGTGTTGTTTATTAAAAGCCACATAAAACACATCCCAGAAATTGGTTTAATCCCGGAAGGGTACGAGTACAATTATTTAATGATCAGAAAATTACTTTAAACAGTAATATTCCGACACGTAAGTTTCGATTTATATACTTTTTATCCTCAAAAAAATACCTTTACTGAGATTTTTTTGGAAAAAAGGGAAAGAGTTAATCAAGCAAGTGGCATCGGTAATGTCAGAGGTTCAAAAAACTAATCCACAACAATTTCCACCCAGCCACTCTCCAGCAGTATCTAGGGGTATATTGAAAGAGGGAAAAAGTAACGATTCTGGGTCTACAGCTAGTTCTACTTCAACTCCAGTAACAACAGGACAAGCTGCTTCAGGAAGTGGATCAAATACTTCAACTGCTTCACCTCAGAAGAAGAAGGGAAGAAAAGGTCGAAAATGATAGGTAAAGCTTTTTTTCATACACAATTAAGGATGGGTTCGGTTATAACTGATGGCAATCAGTTGAAGTTAAATTGCTAAATTTTGAAATTATTTTTTCTTCGCAAGTTATTAATTAAAGTTATTCAGAATTTTTGAAATTATTTTTTCTTCGCAAGTTATTAATTAAAGTTATTCAGAATTAAGCTCTTATCATACTAGCATAAGACCCGTCGCGTTGCTCCGGATTCAAGTATTTTTGATTAATATAAATTATAGCTTGCCTATACAATTACCTGTTTGGTGAAAAACGGTTAAACTTCAGAAAGAATTTCCTTAGTAGACAAAATATGTATCTCAGTTATTAGCTCGTATCAAATTACAGAGTGAATAAGGTAATAAGAAGAGTTTTTTGTTCAAAATTAACTTAAGTTTGAGTAGTCCATTTGAATAGAAATACTATTATAAGAGGAAAGGAAATGTGTTTGGGTTATTAAATTGTAAAATGTACACGTGCTAGAGTATATAATAAATTAGGTAAAAAAAACCTTTAAGCAGAGCATAAAAGGCGTATTCTTATGCGAATTTTTGAGATAAAGGATGCTTTTTGCAAAATCGAATGTTTATTTTGAACTTACCTGATCACGGAAAAATGTGCTGTTAATCATTATGTGGCCCGAAAAAAAATGTGATCACCCTGGTGGATTCAAAAAAAAATCATAATATAATTGTAATACGTTTAAGTGACAATGCCCTGGTTAATTTTAAATGGTTTGAATTCTTTAGCATTGAATTTTTGTTCTTATTAAACTGCTAAGATTTATAATCTGCGTGATTAACTATCATAGATTAGTACGTACGTATAGTACTGTACGCGGCACATCACTAGGCATGCCACATAAAATAAATCAATAGTACTTACTGCAAAGCGATTGCGCACAGTTTTATTTATTTGCCGAACAAAATAAGATTATAAAATTGTACATTATTCGCACAATAAATTTTGATTGAAAAATTAACACTACTTTCACTCTTTCACTCATCTTAAAATAGAAAGAGGTGAATGAAATTTTGTGTATTAATATTAGGAGGCCGAACAAGTTACACAAAAATCGTTGTTTATATGGCCGACAATCGCTATAGCGGATACCGCGCTATGACGTGCGAAGGCATGTCATAAGATGGTAATCCTTTTATTTTATTTACTGATGCTTCCCATCTAGAATTAGAGTAAATAAAATAAGAAAAGAACTATATTACTGTCTAAAGAACAGTATCCTAATTACTGTCCACAATATAACCAATAGATCCAATAGCAAGTATTTAACAAAAGCGAAAGCTAATGTTTCAGGTCAAATTAAGAAATAATTTCGTTCTTAATCTGCAAAAAAATATGTAGTTATTTGTATTATAATTTCGCCCAGAAGAAATATTTTGGGATTCACTCAAAACATTAGCAAAAAGGTATGAACACATGACTTACATCACTAAAATCAATCTATCATATTTTAATTCTAATATCAACCATTGTAGTTTTGCTTTTGATGGAAATATTATAAGATAAGCCAAAATAAGAATTTTTAATTAAGGTTTGTTAGGATTCATGGTTATGTGAAATATAATGGTTTATATATGCGCTCACATGATTTTTGATAAGCAAATTTTAGGTTATCTTCTTTTGAGGCATCATTATTCGCGCAAATTAATACATGCACGACTTACAAACTAACACGAAACAAAACAATGAAAAAAAGAAAAAGG